AAAAAAGACATATCCTCAGATAGTCATTAAAGCACTATTTATAATAGTCAAAAATAGAAAATGAACTAAATATTCTTTGAAAAAATGAACAAAATGGTTGGTTAACACAGTGGCATTTTATACAACAATTAAGAATGAGATATTCATGTATCAATATGGAGAACTCTTGGCAGCAAAAGTAGTATCTGTAACAATTTTTATTATATTATTTACATACTTAGGAAATACACAAGTAATGGCCTGGAGAGACAGTTCAACAGTTGAGAGTGTGTACTGCTCTTCCAGGGGAACCAAGTTCGATTCCTTATACCCATGCTGGGCAACTCACAGCCACCTGTAACTTTGGCTCCAGGGGATCTGATGACTTTTTCTAGTTTCCACAGGCACTATACTCAATATGCACATACCACCCCCTACATAATTAAAAATAATAATAAATCTTTACAAACCAATTCAAGCAAACAAACAACCCCAACAAAGCTAGTGTATAGTGCTATGGATATATTTGTGTAAGTGGTAAATATACAAAAGTAGGCATGAGAAAAGCACACACAAGACCTAAGAAGAAGGCGAAGGTCTCCATGTAGGGAAGGAGACGAATTAGCAGAGCAGGGGTGTTTTAGTTGCATTGATGAGTGAACGGGGCCAGAAGAATATGTCAAAACATTAATATTTGTTAAAGCAAGGAGTAGTGGCATAGATATGGTCACAACAAGTAAATAAGCACTTTCCTTGGTGCTGTAAGCACTTCAGTTGCCAAAGAAAGTGAAAATAACTCTGGATTTAAAATGGTCTTCTGCCGCCGGGTGGTGGTGGCGCACGCCTTTAATCCCAGCACTCGGGAGGCAGAGGCAGGCGGATCTCTGTGAGTTCGAGGCCGGGCTGGACCGATAGCCTCCAAAACAATACAGAGAAACCCTGTCTCGTAAAAACAAACAAACAAACAAACAAACAAACAAACAAACAAATGGTCTTCTGCCAAACCAGGTTCTCTGAACGTGGGTGTCAGTTGGGTGTCAGTCTATGGGGCCTCTGGCAGTGGAACCAGTATTTATCCCTAGTGCACGAATAGGCTTTGGGAGTCCATTTCCTATGGAGGGATATTCTGTCAGCCTAGATACATGGGGGGTGGGGGTGCTAGGTCCTGCCTCAAATGATGTGACAGACTTTGATGATCCCCCATGGGAGGCCTCACTCTCCCTGAGGAGTGGATGGAAGATGGGATGGGGAGATGGTGGGGGGAATGGGAGGACAGGAGGGAGAGAGAACTGGAATTGGCATGTAAAATAAGATTGTTTTTAATTTAAATAAAATTATTAAAAAATAAAATGGTCTTCTGTAAAATGATTTTCCTTAGAAAACTTCTGCCAAATTGGTTTTTGAGACAAGGTCTTGGTTATGTAGTCCAGGCTGACATCAAATCCATTATGCTCCTTTCTTAGCCTCATAAATATTGCAGTTACAGATGAACACTTGCTTTCATGCCTGACCTAAAACCGCTTAAAAATAAAGGTGGGGGAATTACTCAGCTGGTAATGCACTAGCTGTATAATAATGAAGTCCTAGCCTTTGATCCCATCACTCAGGAGGCAGAGGCAGGCAGATTTGGTCTACAGAGTGAGTCCCAGGATGATCAAGGCTACATAGAGAGACCTTCTCTTAAAAAATGAGGACCTGAGTTTAGGTTTACAGCACCCTCATACAACCATTGACAGGGGAGGGAAAGACTGATGGGTCCCTACAGCTCACTGGCTGGCCATCTAGCCAAGACCGAGCTTTTGGCTCTTTGAGAGATAAGGTAGAAAGTGACTGAGGAAGACACCTGGCACTGAAGTTTGGTCTCCACATTCACAATACACCTGCACACACTCATACCTTCGTGAACATGTGACATATACACAAATAAGAATTGAGGTGAGGCAGATGTCTTGGATAAAAAAATCTCTGAATTTGAATAAAAGTCTTTACCAGATGAATGATTCTAAAGTACCCATGAGCTTCTGTTTTTCCAGCTTCATAAGAGTTCACAAAACTCAGCATGTAAACCATTGTTACACAATCAAATGCATGTAAACCCATAGTTCCTGATCAGATAGTTAGGTTCTATTGGTATTATTTAATGAAGGTTGAAATTTAAATGTTCACACTTTCTAATGTAACAGGCTGCAAGATATTTACATGTTTCCTGAAACTATGCTTAGAAAAAGTCTATGGAATTTTACACTTACTGCCTAAAGGGAAAATAGGTTGTTTTAAAAATTCATCTGGAAAAAAATTCATCTGGAGTTCAAGTGTCTCTAGAAGCAGTCTGAACGAGGCCTCTCATCAACAAATCCTCACCAATGGAAAATAAACAAGCTTTCTATCTCATGGAAAATTATGTATAGAGGCATAAAACTTTCCCCTTCAAAATTTGCTGTGCTCAAAGTTAGGCTCAGGGTACATGTCCTTTGTCACAGCAACAGCAATAGATAAAGAAGGCCTGTGTCTCAGACATCCTCAGTCACATTCCAGAAGAGCTGGGTAACCTGAACTTTTTGAACATTAAAAAACATAAATTTTGTCTTCTTTCAGCCCCTCAGTAGTTGCTATTTGATAGTTCTGGGAGACTTCTTGACAAACTGAATATAATAAATATAATGACACAAGACCCAAGAACCTGTACAAATCTGGGCATGATTGCACACACCTGTAAATATCAGATTTGTTGGGCAGAGGCAGTAGGATCAGGAGTTCAAGGCCAACTTCTACTTACTGAGTTTGAAGATAACCTGGGCTACAGGAGATTATATCTCAGAAAAACAAAACCAAATAAACATCAGAAAAATCCATCACCCAACCAACCATTCAGCCAACCAACCAAGCAACAAAAATATAAATAAATTATTTTAGAAAAATCCAAAAAGGAAAAAAGGGACATCAGAAAGAGTCAAGTCTTGAAACATTAACCCAATATTCATAAAACACCAGCCAGAGACTTTGAGATTTTGTGAACTAGACAGGCTAACTAAAACTCCAAAGAAAAAATGAATAGCTAGGTAATTTTGTAAAATAAAAGTCCTGAAATAAAGGATATCAATTTGTATATTTTTTTGTTTGACTTTGTTTTAAACTATGTATGGTCATATAGCATTTACAGACAGATCAATGGAACATAATACAAAAAAAACCCCTCCTAGGAATAAGTCAATTCAATAGAATTCAATAGAAAACAAAATAATATTCAGCATAATGAACACAGATGAACCTAATCATCTGGAAAAAATAAATCTAGACCTTCACACATCATTATATTCAAGAATATTCTACATGGATTGACTATTTTTTTATGAAAAGTGAAAGACCAAATGCATATAAGTTTAAAGGCCATTTATATAGTAGGTCTTTTAAAAATACTACATTAAATCCCAAAACCATTAAAGCCTTTTAAAGTTGACTGCAAAAATTAAAAAGTCCAGGACAGGAAAATAACAGATAAAACAATTAAAGGCATTCACTTACTGATAAAAAACTTTCTTAGCTCATATCACTAGTAAAGGTTGACAGTTCAACCATTAAGAAATTCTCTTAATTGGTAACAGAAAGTCATCAGGAAAGGCACGTAGATCATTAAACATGACATGGCCAAGTTCATCCAGGACAAACACACAGTAAAAGCACTTGGCTATTTCTGCTAGGCTGAAATAAAAATCTTGGCTTTATTTCTATCCGTAGAAGATGGGGAAATGAAATAAATTAAATACCACCATCTAGTAGACTATAATGTCCTCAAAGAAAGATTTCAACAAGTAATATGTCAATCGAGTTTGTCAAGTTTTTCTCTTCTAAGGAAATTACACAAAGGTGGATTATACTCATTAATCAACACTACAGACACTATAAATGTTTTGATCCTCTCTACACCTTAGATATACTAGAATCTAGAAGATTTGAGGGTCAAAATGACTAGTCGGATGAAACAAAGAACTATAATCTCTTCTGTGCTAGATAACAGTGTTCAAATCCGCATGTAACATCATCATTCAAAAGGCATTTTAAAGTTGTACTGATAAAACAATAGATCTCATGTAAATAAAACCCAGGGAAGCATACCAGATTTCATACTGACAATATCACTCATTCTAATATACTATATTCTCCACTCCTTCCTCCAGAGCAGAGTCTATGCAAATATTTGTTTTTTGGAAATTATAGCAATGGCTGAGTGGTTAGGAGGACTTATTGCTCTTGCAGAGGACCAAGGTTTGATTCCCAGCATCCACATGGTAGTTTACAACCATCTGTAACTCTAGTTCCAGGGAATCCAAAACCCTCTTCTGGTCTCCATGGGCACTAAGTATTCATGTGATGCATAGACATACACATATACACCCATATATATATGTAATTCTAACTTTTAAAATCTATAGAAACACATCATTGTCAACACTGTAAAGGCAATCTTTCTTGCTGAGCTTGGTGGTTCAGGACTGTATTCCAGCTTCTGCAGAGGCAGAGGAAGGAGAACTGAAAATCCATGTCCTGCCTGGGTAACTGATTTGGAAGTAAAGCCAGGAACCTTAGCGAGACTCTATCTCAAAATAAAATAAAATAAAATAAAATAAAATAAATAAAAAAGGCCCTTGGTTCAAACTTCAATCTTAAGAAAATAAGAAATAAAGAATTTTGATCTTAAGAAAATAAGAGCTAGCCAGGCGGTGGCACACGCCTTTAATCCCAGCACTCGGGAGGCAGAGGCAGGCGGATCTCTGTGAGTTCGAGGCCGGGCTCGACCGACAGCCTCCAATACAGAGAAACCCTGTCTCGTAAAACTAAAAATAAATAAATAAATAAATAAATAAATAAATAAAAGGAAATAAGAGCTAAAGAAACAACAGAAGCCTCTTTACTCCCTTTGTTCCATACGGTTTTACAGTGCATATGAAGAACACACTACTCCACACATACAGAGTGACACACAAGGACTCACACACATCAGAGAATGGCTAAGGAGTGCTTACCTGATAGCGTGTTGGCTGATTGAGAATGCTGTTAAAACTGTGTGATTCAAAAACTCTCGAGTTAGACTGAGTGAAGAGGTTTAACTAGGAAAAAATACAATTAACCTAGTAAATTAGAATACATTCACTTGGAATAAGAAATATAGTCTGATTCTCTTGGATGGCATTTCTGGAGTCAGCACTTCTGAGGAACATTTTGTGTGGGCTGACTTTTATGAGGGGTGGTTAAATATTTCCAAAGGCAACTATCCATGTGAAGGACATGTTCATTCACCTTCATCAAAGCACTGGCAAGACACAGTGTAGCAGAGCTGTTTATTAAGAATGTATTTTAGAAGTTGGCCCTTACCTAGCATGAGTTTTCCTGGGGACATGCTTTATTAACCATGAAGAACCCCAACGCCTCTGAAGTGACTTGATTGGTTGCTGAGCCCAAGTTCCTCTCCTAAGTTAACAAAAGCCTACCATGGGCGTGGGTAGTCTTACAAGTATTTTGAAGCCCCGTGATACCACCTTAAATAATATCTCTTCCTAAGCATCTTGCCTTACTCTGAGCAAGGATTAGACCTTTGGAAAGAATTAGGCTCAAGAATGGGACTTTATTCTCTGTCTCATCTATCTGTCTGTCATCTATCATTAATCTCTCATCTATCTGTCTATCATCTATCTATCTGTCTGTCTGTCTATCATCTTCCATTTATCACCTATCTCTCTGTCATCTTCCATCTATCATCTATCTGTCTATCTACTTTATCATCCATCTATCATGTATCTATTTCTCTATCATCTATATAATCTATCTATCATCATATATCCTCTCTCTGAATGTGTATCTCTGTCTCTGTCTGTCTGTCTGTCTGTCTCATCTCAAGTTTTGAGTAGGCAGAAACAGAATGCTAGCAGCGAGCCTCACCCTGTCCATCCTTCCCACAGGCGCGAGCAGGGACGTCCTATCATCATTCAAGGGCAAGCTGCCATGTATAGGAAGTGATTCCAAAGGCCCCCCCACCCTATTATATTCTCTCTACCTCCTGAGCACCAGTGTGACAGTTCGAGAAGGCGTGGCAGGTCAGGGCAGAGGTGACAGGGCCGGACAGGCCTCTTGTACACTGTTTTGCTAGGACCCGCACTTGACGATGCTACTTTCCCCTCTGCCGCTGGAGGTCAGTATCTGCCTGCTGACTGAGCTTAGCTGACCCAGCAGGGAACCGTTTCTTAAAGTTCTTCTAAAACAGAACAACAAAAAGCACTGGCATTTCTTCAACTTTTATTTAAGTCATCTAATGAGGGAAATCTATGCTCACGAGTAAGATTGAAAAACTTTAGCTGGGTGTAATGGCACATGCCTGGAACCCCAGATGCTGGGGAGAGTGAGGCAGGAGGATCACAAGTTCAAGGCCAACTTTAGCAAATTAGGAGGCTATGAAATGAAAAGAATGCCAAGGTAAGCTTTCCTAGCTGAGGAACAAAAGCTCCTTCCTCGCGTTGGCGCTGCAGCGCGGCAGGGATGGGCACCCTATGACCAGCATTCCTTGTGTGCCTTGAGGGAGGTCTAAGTGCTCTGCTCACCATCTGCGTTGCGACCGTTTCAGGTCCAAAGTCCGTGAACTCTGCTGCGCACAGAAAGAAAACTTCAAGGGTGTCCTCTGAAGCACAAAGCATTGTAAGTAAGCCCCACGCTTGAGATGCTTTAAAAAAATTTTTTTTGTAACAATATATACTTAAGTAGCCGAACTTCCCTAAAGGGACAAAACATTTCTCAAAACACTGTCAATCCTAACAGTAGGCAGAGTCGCCCAGATCATCACAAGTCGACTACTCTCCAGTGACTGAAACGGGCTGAGCGTGGATCGCCAGAAAGCCTCGACTCTACGTCTGCTCTACACTGACTATGAGCCAGGTAACCTGGCGAGGGGTGAGTTACTCAATGGCTTCAGGTACTATAGAATTGGGACAATGATACCCACTTCCCACTATTGCACGAGGTCTAAACACACAGCAATGCAGTGTGGAATCTGACAAGGATGGACACCGATGCTTGATGAGCTGGAGTGGAGGACATCCCATTTCATCCTCACAGAAGCCCCGAGGCTTTCCTCTTTTAGGTGAGGCAATTTATCTGTGTGATTTGCTGATGAGTCTTAAGAGCCAAAGCTCAGACCCAGGTCTAACCCAGCTTCTTCCCCCTCCTTACACGCTGCGGCTTCGCACCGTGTTGTGCGATGTTATATCTGAACAAGGCATGGACAACCGGTCACTGATGCAAAGTCTAATACCAGTGAGAGATCACATCCTGGTCACACAAAATGCATTAAGTAGTCACTTCCTTTTAAACTTATTTTTTAGTGCTGGGGTTAAACCACGGGCCTTATGCATGCTAGGAGGCAGTGTGCCACTGAACACACTCCTAGTACAAGGTCACTTTCTGTCGGAGTAAAATTCTTGGAAACATAGATCTACCTTAAAGAAGAAGGAATTAAACTGCATCAATGTGGTCTTTCCGCCAGCTTCAACAGAGAAAAAGCCTCTAACTTTGCTCAAGGCCGGTGTTTTGTTTCCCTAGGTGTCTTATAGTATTACAGCTGGAGACCATTTTCATAATTGGTTTTTTTGAGACAGAATCTCACTCTAGTCCTAGATGGTCTCGAAATTACAATGTAACGCAACCTGGTTTCAAACTTTGTATCCTCCTGCCCCAGTCTACCCAGTGTGGGGATTACAGGCTTGCAGCGCCATGCCAGGCTCCATTTTTCACAATTTTAGACAGAAACAGCGTTTGAATCTCACACATTTGTTCCCATCTGCTTCCTTCCCTGTTATTTTAAATATACCTGCAATGTTGTGTCTCCTACTCCAGTTCTATACATGGAAGCCACGTGCCTCGTGATGAAGGGTGGCCGTGAAACTTACCTTCCTAGTTAACGAATGGCTTCAGTGGGTCAACTCAAAGGCTTTTACGCTTCTTTATAAAGGCCATTCATTGCTGTTGCTGTTTGGGAATATGCTCAAGCTCGTGTCTATGGCATGGCACTACAAGAAAGACGACTTTGCTCAGTCTCTCTAAATGTAGCATCAGTGAACTGTGCATATGCCAACCGGAAGACCTGAAGTTAGAGTTGCTTAACTTCAGAGTGACCACTTTGGAGCATGGGGACACAGACTCAAAGCATTTTTTGACAATAACTTCCCTGCTTTATGCTTAACAAGCTTTTCATTTGCTTGTTTATATTACGGCACTTTATATGAGAAGCTGACCCCAAATAGGGCATAGACTAAGTGACTATTCGAGGCACGCTGCAGATAGTATTAGTCTATGAGAGACCATGGAATAGACAGCTACCTTCAAAATCTTGTAAGCTCAAAACAGAAATTAATGAACAAGCATCAAAAGACAAAGACATGAAACATTTGGTTTAGGGCCTTGGCATGTTCTCAATACCTACCCTGGACTTCGAGTTACCCATTCCCAACTCCAGATCCTTCTGAAGTCTTCTCCTCCTGCATTTGGAAAAGTTAGTGATCCGCATGATGAAATAAACAAACGATTTTGGACTGGGGACCAGACTGAAGGGCGGAGGTAATGTTTTTCCATCATCAAAGTAGGATAACCAAAGTTTTGAACGTGCAAACTTCCATTCTACATCACTGTCATCCTGTCACAAAACAAGACTCATTGTTAAAGTGGTTACGATGTCTAGAGATTTTCTTTTTGCTTCAGTGTGTATGTGTATGTGTGTGTGTGTGTGTGTGTGTGTGTGTGTGTGTGTGTGTGTGTGTGTGTGTACACATATACCTGTGGTGGCTAGAAGAGGGGACCATAGTTACATCTTCGTAGTTGTAAGCTCGATGTGGGTCCTGGGAACTAAAGTCCGGTCCTCTTCAAGAACAGTGTTTGCTCTTCTAAGACACATCTCCAGTCACATAGTTACTAAATTTTAAACTACACATTCTAGACCTGATGTATAGTATTACAGAAACTACACTATGTTTTAAACAGTTAAGTAATTAACTACATTTGCAGGCACATCATTCCTACTGTGTCTACATGATATAGACTCACATATATGCTATTTGAGTGCTTTCTCTTCTACACGCCTCTGCCTGTACCTACTGAATGTAACCAGCACTTCCCGTTCCTCATTCCAAGGTAAAGCAAAAGGCAAGAAAAAAATTCAGGGTCAAAGAAGGATAAAACTATTAGTCACCGTCTTCCTGTGTCATCCCAACCGTTTCTTCACATTCATCATTGTTTCTCATTCTCTGCCACCCTCCCTGGTCTCCCAGGCCCATCTATACCAGGTGGGTGTAGATGCCAAGTGCCTTACTCTAAAAGCAAAGGGGAAAATGGCACTTAGATGTGTTGATTTTTGTCTCATTTATCTTAATTTGTTTTGTATTGAAGATTTCACGTTAGCACAGGCTGGCCTGGAGCTTACACTGTAGCTTAGGCTACCCCTGCCACTTCCTCCTAAGTTCTGGATAACAGGCGTATGCCACCACACTTCACTGGATCAATTGCATTTTGAAGTTTGTATTCGTACTACATATCCCCAAATGTCATATAAATCCTAAAGAGGCCTTGTCTCCATCTTTTTCTGTTCCCAATGTTTCCCATGGCGATTGACACAAACATCCTCATTGACAAAGGACAAGGGCCACAGGTTTAGGAAGTGGGCTCCTTTAATCCCCAGAACCTACACTGATGCTACTACACACACAGACATCTACAGTGCTCTACCTGTGGCTTCTGTAGGATCTACTGTACTGGGTAATACTGATTGGCACTATGACAGGATCTAGGCTCACTTAAGAGATAAACCCTGGGACATTCTTGTGAGAGTTTTTAGAGTGAGTTAATTTAGGTAGGATGGCCTACCATAAATACGGGTAGTTATGGTTTAGGACAGCATAAAATGGAGAAGATGAGCTAAGGACCAGTAGTCATCTTCCTCCGTGGCCTGGCTGAGAATACAGTGTGACCAGCGGCCTGAAGCTCTTGATTTTTCCCCACCACGATGAACTGTGCCCTCGAACTGTCAGCCCAAACCAAACTCTTCCTTCCTTAACATGCATTGGCCACAGCAACAAGAAAAATAACTAATATGCCGTGTGTAATCCTGTGTTGAGGACACTAAATAAAGGACATCCATTACTGAAATGTTCTTAGAAGCTAGGTGTGGTGCTGCACACCTGTAATCCCAGCACCTGGGGACATGAAGCAGGCAGGGCACCATGAGTTTGAGGTCTTGGTGACCTAGTGAGATCCTGGAGCCTAGCTATAGTGAGACCCTGTCCTCAAAGACCCAGACAAGCATAGCCGTTTGGTAGAGTTAACACATGGCTAAGCAAAGATACTAAATTCAAAAGAGGAAGACACTAAGAAAGTATAAAACCATGAAGAAGGCTATGGAACCAACAGATCAAAAATCCAATGCAGAGTAGTTTCCAGGGACTGAACATTTTGCCTAAAGAACATGGTCAACTACTGCGAGTCCTCCACCAGGAGCAGTGCTGGGTGGCCTAGGAGCAATAACCAGTATTTCTAGCCAATAGTCTTAAAGCTTTTGAGACACAGGGAGTGGGAAACACTTACCTCAATTTCTTGGTATGAGCTATTAATCATCGCAATTAGCATGTTGAGCAAAACAACCACCATAGTTACATTGTATATTCCATAAAGAACATATCCAATATTCTCTATGAATTTGTGATCATATTTGAGGACAACAGAAGTCACTTCAGACAGTCCAAATATGGACCAAAATAAAGTCTTGAAACTTTCTTCCACGCTGTTGAAAAATTAAGCAAAGTAATGAATAGTTTCTAGTGTTAAGAAGTAAAAACAAGTTAGTATCTGATGTTATACAGATGTAAAATATTATTGTAAAATACTATCATCATAAACTCCTAACAATCCCTTTTTAAAAATATTACTATTTACTTCCTGTGTACTGGTGTTTGTTTACACGTACATCTATGCACCACATACATTCAGTGCCCATGGAGGCCAGAAGAGGGCAATAAATACTCTGGAGTTGGGAGTTATGACAGCTGTGAGCTGCTGTATGGATGCTGGGACTTGAACCCAGGTCTTCTGCAAGAGCAACCAGAGCTCTTAACTGCTGAGTCATCTCTCTAGCTCCTAAATAATTGTTTCCAATAAAAAATTTTAAGAGTAGAATTATTATTATTATAATATTTTATTCTTCAATTATGTTGAGACATTATTTCATTATGTGGCCCAGGCTGGCCTTGAACTGATCCTCCTACATCTGCTTCTAAGTGGTAGGATTCCAAGCACATGTCACCATGTTCATATTGTTACTGTACTCAACAGCAAGTATCTCCTGAGGTTTGCTGGAGGAGGTGTCAATGCTCAGCTTCACTCATCAGGAGAAAGATGAAGTGATGTCATGCTTTCCTTAGGGAAGGATGGAAGTTAGGAGTCTGATTTTGGAAATGGTTTGGAAATTTAGATCAAATTTCCTGGGTTAGTTTAAAACTAGATTTCCACTTCAAAAAAGGATGTACAACTCATTATGACTTGCAATGAAGTAATTTGCACCTTAAGAATAAAAGCAAACTCAATACCCAGAGAACATGCTAAACAGCTTTGGTGCATTCAGATGGTGGAATGCTGTGCAGCCACTGATGATAATGAGGCAGATTAACCGTCACACATTTATTATATAAACAGTAACAAAGACATATCAAGTGAAAAAAATGTAGCAAGTGTGAACTACTTAGTCATCTGAATACAAAAGAGAGGGCTACATAAATACATTCTTCTTTTTGGGAAAAGATTTCTGAAAGTGTTCAAAAGAAATCATGGCTTCCAAGAATGAAAGACAACATATAGATTGGAGGTCAGAGTGTGAAGGTGAGGCTTTTCACTGTAAACACCCCATTTAAATTTTTGGCACAAGAACCTACAGCCCACATGAAAAAAAAAACCAATTAAAATTCACACTACAATTACCCTAAAAAACAAAACAAAAAACAAACAAACAAACAAAAAAAAACCCCATAGTTGCCTCGTGTCATCTGTGGGGACTGGCTCCTGCGGCCCTCGTAGGTATCAGTATCTGAGGATATGCCCTGGAATTCAAATAAATGGTACTACACTCTCAGGTCACCAGTGTTTCTGGTGTTATTTATACCGTCTCTTGGGTCACTTACAATAACAAACATAATGCAAAGCTATGCAAATAATTGTCATGCTACAGTGTTTGGGGAATAATGGCAGGAAAAGAATGTGCATACTCAATACAGATACAATTTCTTTCTTTTTTTTTTTTTTTTTTTGGTTTTTCGAGACAGGGTTTCTCTGTGGCTTTGGAGGCTGTCCTGGAACTCGCTTGGTAGTCTAGGCTGGTCTCGAACTCACAGAGATCCTCCTGCCTCTGCCTCCCGAGTGCTGGGATTAAAGGCGTGCGCCACCAACGCCCGGCCAGATACAATTTCTTAAAAGAATCATTTGACCCATGGTTGGCTGCACGTGGGGTCTGGATTCTGAAAGCCAGCTTTACCTCCTCCATAAAAATACTGCGCAGTTGGGAGAGGAGGGAGACAACAGAACGGGAGCATTCCAGTCCTCCTAGTACAAGTATTTGCAGGCCCTGGCCAGACTGAGCTCCAAATTTCACCCCTCCCATGACTTTTATCCACTGGCATTTAGCTCATTTTGTCATCTGATCTTCAGATCTGTGAAATGAATAAAGACTCCTTGAACAGTTCCATAGGTCAAATTCATTGTGGAGCACAGGTGGAAAATTGTCTCCCCCTGCCCAGAGAATCATTTATGAAAACAGTACTTTAAAATATTTTTACAGATTCTAAATAAAAATGAAGCCTATAGACCTGCCATTTATATATATTATATATATACGCATATATATATATTATAATTCATTTAATCACTCAACCATGATCGCTTGACAATCTAGTACATTCTAGAAATGTTTTTAGTCCCTGGGGATAGAGGGTTGAGAATAAAGAATTCTGTTCCAATAGAGAAGTTTCCCATCACCAAACTTTAGAGTGTGAAGTTACGGCAGGTGGAGGCAGGAGGCTGCACACTTTAGCCTCTGCTTCTGCATTTATTAAGCCTGTCACGGCACCACCCTGCCCTTCCTCTTGTTCCTTTGCAAACGTCCCTGTCTCGACTGCTTGCAGTATCTGTGGGCTGGGTATATGTGGGGGAAGAGGGACTTTGGGATGGAAAGGACACTGCAGTTGTGAGCTCCTACTGTGGGCAAGAGGTTTATATAACCAGCCTTATGCAATCCTCACAACGACCTTATTTAAAATCTATCATGCTTCTTTCAAAAATGAGGGAAATGACACCGAGAAATGCTCAGTAATTTAACCAAAGGGCACAGTTAGAAAATAGCAGAACTGTGTTAAAATCCTGGTCTGCCAGACTTCCCAGCCGATATTCCTTGTACTATATTATGTTGCAGGCCTCCCTTCAAAAGAGAAAAGGAAAATGTAATCTGTCAGGTGACTATTGTGAGGCAGGGAGCGCAGGGAAGTGTGCAGGTCCTGTCTACTCACCAATGGAGTCACAGGATTCTTTTGTCTTGTCATTTATTACAGTAAAGTGAGCCTCTGGTCTCGGTTACAATAACTATTAAAAAAAAACAATTCAGATGTCCCCAAGGACACGAGGCTGTACAGTATCTACAGGGAACTCACTGTAGCTGGCACAATGGGGAACAAAGGGAAGCTTGTGAGAGTTTGTGATATGCTTGCCTGCAAGGGCTGAACAAACAGAGAGGGCCCATCCCCAAGACAACCAAACGTCTATGGGTGAGAGAGAGAATCTCACAGTCTGGGTAGCTCCATGGTGACAATGACTGTGGAGGTTAATCAAGAAAGGCTTCAGGGAGGAGGTGACTCTTCAGGGCAGGAGGTGGGACTCTGTTTAGAGCTGTCTTTCTGCTTCCTCTATTCCCTGAACTCACTACTGATGAACACATTAATATAGAAGCTGAAAGACAAATAGACCTCAAAATGATGAAGCTACATTTAGTGTCTACAAAAATAAGAGACATCCACTGTTAGACATTTGCCATCCAGTTTTCTTAAAATAGCCCCTTTGGTCTGGTATTTTTCCAAATCCTGATCAAGTCTTCACTTGCTGGACCTGTTGGGATTTCTTTTTACACCTTTTTAGGATGATGTCTTACTTACGTGGTAAAAGCAGGATTGACTTTGGCCCCCAGGTAGTAAGAATAAAGGATGAACATGCCAATCATGAAAGCCAGAAACACCATAATGAACAGAACCATGAACTTGAATATGTCCTTCACAGTCCTTCCAAGGGATATCTGCAAGGGCCCGAAGCTCTCATTTGCAGGGAGGATGTATGCAATCCTGGAGAAGCTTAGTACCACAGCTATGGCATAGAGGCCTTCAGATATGATCTGAGGGTCAGAAGGGAGCCATTTATCTCTAGCTAGAAAAGGAGAGGGAGAGAGAGAGAGAGAGAGAGAGAGAGAGAGAGAGAGAGAGCTTAAAATGGAGTTTTTAATTTATTCCTAACTATGCAAAGCAAATACTGCAAACAGATCTATTATAAAGACAAGTGGTTCTTGCTTCAGTTGAAACTACTGGCAGTTTAATTAACTGTCCCAGATGCTATTTTTTAATGTTAAACTAGAAACAACATCTTTATTTCAATGGATGAAACCCTATTATGAAGACATCAGGGCACAGAAACAGAATAAAATACAAAGGAGAGATTCAATGTTTCATGGACACGGACTATGTCCAGGACTATGTTTGGGACAGGAGACCATTGGTATTCACTCGCCCTTAGGTATCAGCTGTATTTACTGGTTGTTTTGCTATGCTATAGGCAAAACTTCAGTGAAATTTACTTTGAAAATCAATTCATCTATCAATTAACACAAGTAAAAATGTCCAACAGCAAGGAAGGAGAGTATTACCAGATCATAGTGATTCTGACCCTGTGAGATCTGAGCCATGTGGCAGGCTCCCAGAACGTGTAAATATGTTAGAGGTAGACCTGGAGTGAGGACCTCAATAATATACAGCAGATCTAGTTCCCTGAAATAATAAATGGTTAATTCCGTGCAAACTGACTCATTTCCAAAAGAAAGGCTGCACTGTAGACACATAACATCTCTTGAATGTTTGCTTTGTGTTAGACACTGCCTTCAATGACCCAGTGTCAGTTCTCTTTTTATGAAAATAGAAACCAAGACTTAAAAAAGTTTAAAAACACTTATAAAAGAAGTAGGGGAGCCTGAATTAATAAATTCCCCTCCAGCCAACAGTTACTAAATACACATGAATAAATTTGGATACACAGCTTATAGAAACAGCAAAATAACATGTCACATACAACAAGACTTCAATTCTTTAATTATAAATGGTGTCCAATTGCTCCTTTGAGCCAGCATTTTAGAACATTAAATTCTTGCTTGTTGATGGTGACAGATAATGTGTTTAAATTGCAGGCACTGCAATACTGTGTATTTTGGAGATTTCCTTAAAATGTTAAAGTATATGTACTCCTCATGACATTGAGTCCCAGTCACACTTCCAGAGTCTTCCTCCCAGCAAACCCCAGCACTTCTAAATTCTGTGTTTCAGGCTTTCTTATCTGTAAAATGAGTACCAGGTGATAATTTATTCTATCTTAATTTATTGTGGTATTTGGGCTAGGCAAACCGTCTAGGACTATGCAATATCTCCACGCCTTTATTTATTTATTTTAATTTATTCACATGCAGGATCTCACTAAGTTGCCCTGGCTGACCTTGATCTATGTAGCCTGGCCAGTTTGGGATTTGTGAAGATTCTCCCTTAGCCCCCTGTGTAGCTGGGAATGCAGGCCCGACTAACATACAACTATAATGAAAATTCACCAGTTGTAGCTCCGTAATACTGGTTTGTGCCAGCAAAGAAGCCATCAGTGTCCATTTCACTTGGATGTCTTTGTCATGGGGAGGATACAACACCCTGTCCAGGGTCTACTGTGTCCACAGCCAACCTTGTCGTATGTGTGGACTTCAGCTTCTACATCCCGCCTCTGCTAAAATCCATTATCTTATTCCATGCCCCTGAGCATCTAGTTTCTCAGATTCTGGAACTCATGCTCTACCTGCTGCCCACAAACACTCTACACATTTCTCATGCTAAGCATACAGTGGCTGCCTATTAATCGGAGGTTTGGCATTCTATAATTTCAGTGATTGATGATCAACTGTAGTCTGAAAATACCAAACAGCAAATCTCAGATGTAAACAATGGATATGTTTTAACTGTGCAGCCTTCTAAGCATCATAACAGTCCAGTCTCCACTGACTCCATCCTTCCTAATCTTCACCCTCTATCCGGTGAGCCACAGTGCTAAGGCTGTTTGCCCCGTAGAGCCCAAGTAGCAGTGGAGCTTACCAGACTGCTAGTCTCTACACAGTAGAGGCTGTGATCTTACTCAGTCATAACCCTAGAACTCAAAAGTAGTGTTGCTGGCAATCTTATTACGGTAGACTATTATTAACCTTTTTGTGTTTTATTAGTCATTACTCAATCATGGACTATAATTTATAAATCAAGCTTTATCACAAGCACATATTTACATGTGAGAAAGGACACAGCATATGTAGGGTTTGATTCTATCCGTGGTTTCTGGCATTGCAGAACACCCCCAACTCAGATAGGAGAGCTACCATGTCTTATATTTTGCGTTTTGCCTTGCGAGCCTATCTTAAGGGCTGAGCCGTCTCTCCAGCCATCTCTTCCCAAAATGCCCTTCCTGAAATGCAAAGGGGCTCTGCAGCTAACAACTCACCATAGGTGAAATACTGAACCTCAGGTGGGAGTGTGACTTCGCTCAGATCGCTCTCTTGCACGTGGCTGTCCACATACTGCTGTGCTTTGGTTGCCTGCAGGAAGGCTAGGAACCGGGCCGTGAAGGCCGCAATGAAGATGGAGAGCATGCCGAAATCAAGCACGTTCCACAGCTGCACGATGTATTCCCGGGGCCCTTCCAGCCACAGTTCCTTGCACTCAGACCACATCATCCCTGCAAGAGAAACCAGAGGCTGAGGCAACACTCTGTCCACAACCAGGAAAGCTGACACGCCAGCACCACCTGACTGCGCGGATGGACGCGGAGAGGCCCTGGTGGAGAGGAGCGGAAAGGAAGCTTCCGCTTAGGGACTGATGGACTCCACCATGTCAGATTTTAAAGAGACACACGTGACTCCAGGATCGCTGTTCATATAACCCATGTGTGTAGATGACACAGGATGGGGGTCAGGAAGAAAGCAAAGGGAAGTGCAAGTTCTTGGCTTTGTTCCATGAGTTTTTGGAGAAGGAGGAGAAGGGAGCCTCGGAAATCCAAGAGGCTAATGAATTCCGATCACAGCAATGCAGGGTAAGACTAAGCTCCGAAATGGGAAATTGACTGCAGGCGTTTGACAACAACCATGCCCTGTCACCCAGGAACACTCGTCCTCCTGTAAACTCTCTTCCCCCACCCCTGCCTACTGGGGAGGCTAGGAACATCACCAGAAAAGATCCAATTCTAGAAGAAACTGCCATCTGAGTGAAAAAAAATGAAGCATTCAGCTTAACAGATTCTCCTGACTATGTACACATGGATTGGACACCTTTTGGTACTATGATATGATGTCATTTGCAGATGTGCTGGGCTACATTCATAGCCATGGTGGGGTGTGTGCACCTGAGGGCCACAGCTGGTTGAGGCCATGAGGTAATGAGTGAAGAACTGACCTCCTCACTCAGAATAGCAAGGAGCACACAGGGGAGAGAGAAATCAACGCACAGGATGCTTCCATTTCCTGAGATGGAGCAGAATTCCCCCCCCTCGCACTACTTCAAAATTTCCCTTTAACACAGCTACTCAAAATGAGTTATCAGAAGTTAAGTAACAAACATCCTAAAAACCAGAACACTCCTAAAATCCCTGAAACTAAAGCAATGTATAACAACGTCTCTTTAGTCACAACTATTTCAATTAAATACTTAGGCCCATGGTAATAATTTGGTGTCACTACACACCTTTCAGCATTGTCTACTATTGAGTCATTCAGTTATTTACTAATCTAGCTGATGCTTATGCTCTCATCATACATAGCATAACAGTTTTAGAAGAAAAAGGCGATCATTTCATTAACTATTTTTTAAAATAGAAATTAGAGCTCTTAAAAGGCTTACCAAGAACCCAGACCATGATTAGCATTTCCGTCCATGTGAACTGGGTGGTCTTCACTCTGAAGATCTGCTTGGGATAGTCAATAACAGTGATGTTTGGCAGTGTGGTGATACCTTCGAACCTGTCTGAGGCATTGAACACAAGCAGACCCAGGAAGATGATGAAGGAGGCAGCATGTGCCACGAACTTCATGAAAGGGCTTCGGAGAATTTTCCCCAGCTGTAATACGACAGAGAGAGGGAGAGGGGGATGTGAGGGTGATGACAGAGAGGGGCAGGGAGGGGACATGGAGGAGGGGGATGAGGAGCGGGGATATAGGAAGGAGGTGGGAGATAGGAGGGAGGGGAGATGGGAGAAGGGGGAGATGGGAGGGAGGGGCAGATAGGAGGGAGAGGGAGATGGGAGAAGGAAGGGGAGATGGGAGGGAGGAGGAGGCAGGAGGAAGGGGAAGATAGGAGGGAAGGGGAGGAGATGTTCTAGAAAAATTGACTTCTACTTGCAACCTTCATTATACAGGATAAAAATAAGTAAATGAAGGAAGTTGGAAAACTTTCTGTTGGCGTTGGAAGAGCTATTCAGGCTCATTCACATGGGACATTAAAAGCATTTTCTGTTGTTTGTTTGCTTGTTTGTTTGAGACAGGGTTTCTCTGTGTAGCCGGGGCTGTCCAGAAACTCACTTTTTAGATCAGGCTGACCTTGAACTCACAGAAATCTGCCGGCTTTTGCCTCTCAAGTGTTGGGATTAAAGGTGTGCACTACCAGCGCCTGGCACACCTCTTTTTGAAGAGTAAAATAATTACTACACTGTAAACAAATTGTAGTTCTCAATTCCAAATAATCCAAAATCGTCATACCATAGTCATATTTTAGAAGGAAGAAACTATTAGAATCAAGATCAATATCTTATTAATTACTACTTACATAATAGGGAGATACAAACTAACTAGAACTTCCAAGTAAGGTAGATTGATTAAAAATAATCAAGTTTTGAAAATTATACATATAATAAAGACATTTTTAATGGTCAGTTTATAAAAAATATGTGCAGGTTGCTCCTTAAAAGTATCCTGAGATACACTGTCCTTAAAAGTCCCACATTCTAACAGGAAATGAGAAGCAATTCCCCTTGTCCCCAGGGCATTCACAGCCCAAGGATGAGGTACACTGGACACATTTGTCAAGTATGTTCTCTATGCTGCACACTCAGAGTCTGGTTTTTAATTCAGTCTCTGACCTTAAAAACAGATTCGGTTCACATTTGGAAGACTAACTTCAAAGGAATGTCCAGAACCTTAGTCTGCTATCAACAAATGACCAAAGAATGTCAAGCATTTCTGAATTTGAGCATGCATGCACACAGACAGTTGTTACGTTTCTATACTGGACATAGAAAAATAAGCAACAATACAATCACACATCTGGGAGCCGAGACAGCTGCAGAGGGTGTGCTTAGCATCACCACCAAGTCTCATGTAATTTTTAGGAGTTTCCAAGTCTGTTTTCCTTAAAGATTGATCTTTGAAACTTTAAATAAGATGCAAATAAAAAGCATACTCATCTTTAAAATGTGGAGGTTTTGTTTGTTTGTTTACAGTATTGGAGCCAGGGCTCATGCCCACTAGGTCTAATGCTGAGCATTGCCCCTGCCTAAGACCCCCTCACCCAGGTCTGTGTGCAGAGGCTGGAGGTCAACAAGTGCCATTCTTCTGGGGCTGTCCGCCTTGGTTTTTGAGCCTAGGGCTCACCAATTAGCTAGACTGGCTGACTAGCAAGTCCAGGAACCTTCCTCTGCAGCTCTCCAGCACTGAGACCGCAGGCACATGCCATCACCTCTGGCTTTGCATGAGGATAGTAGGCATGGAACCTGGGTATTAATACTTCATCAACTAAAGTACTCCCCCAACCCCCGAATCCTCCAGTTATCTGTGTAATAAGCACAGCCATGCATAGGACCAAGGAATGGTTAAACTCCCAGTTTTCTTTTCTTATGATGAAATGTCACTACTCAGAGAGCTGTTATTTTATCAGAGGTAAAAATGTCCACCCCAAAATGCCCACTGCAGCACTAACCTGCTCTAATTGACTGAGATATCAGAAGGCAGATTCTCGGGTACCAGAACTTTGGGATGCATTTCCTCCAGAAAAGGGAAATTGGTTGGGTTACAATTTTCTGCTGACGGCAGGCTCTTATGTGATTTATGTTCTAGTCTTTAGTTTTTATGTATTTAAAGAATTGTAGAGTAGCTCCTCTATGATACATAACAAAGAATCCAGCAGTCATCAAACTTTGTCAAAATGACAAACATTCTACCTTTTATTGTATGGGGCAGCTCAACAAGGAAGTGAGATGGATAAGCATCCTCACACAGGTAAATACCTGGAGGAGGCTGTTGAGCCACGGGGCAATGTCATCCTTGCAGGGTCATTTATAAGTGACCTTGGCACATTTCGACTGAAACAGATTCTGATTTAAATAAAGCCAGGCTGAGATTATAAACAAAGGACCTGAGGGCAGCTCCTTCTCCAGGAAGTGCCCCTATTACCAGAGTGCAGATTCTGTTAGCATGATTCATGCTCTCACCACATCTTGTGTAAGGGATTTCTTAATCACAACCAAATTAGCTCTTCTTGGACAGGTTGCGGGGAGAAAGCATCAGAGCGATCAAAGCAAAATTAAGCAGTTAAAAAAATTGAAAGCACCCAAAGTCCAATTCTAGGCATGTTGGAACTTTCTGGAAGAACAAAGGACTTGAGGACCCATCATGGGCATGACTGAAGGTTAAATAATGTTGCTGATAGCCATGAGCTTAACACTCAGTTCCCACTGTTTCTAATGGGTTCAGATGAGCGCACTGAAACCAGCTGTTTTGCGGTTCAGTGAGTACAGATGTCTACTTCCCATCCCTTTTTCCAGCCAGCCCCGCCCATGTTCTCCTTATTACGCCGTCAGAAGTAACTGCACAAATGCTGCTTCACCCCAGCCACCTGCTCCTTCCTGTCTACCACGGGGATTGTACCCTAGAACCCTTAGCATGTCACGCCTGCAAATGTGATCTGTTTTGGTAGTACCAAATCCTTCCTGGTTCTATCCTTGAGTTGATCCACCCACTAAAAAGTAGAATATTTGTTCCAGGGTCACCTAAAATGCAAAGCCAAAGAGCTGGGAGCCTGACCTTTAGTTTTTGCACTTTCCCAACAGAGATACACACTGCACCCAGCACAGAGGGGAGGTGGAGAGGCTAGTACCCTGCTACATGGTGCAATCCAATAGCCCATAGCAAGGAATGGAAGGCCCAGGGCCACGACCAACACGACCAGGCACTTGATAGCGATGGTCTGCTCCCGGAGGCCAGAGAGGTTCTCATACCAGATCGTCAAAAGCTGCTGTTGGCAGTTGGGGTGAGCCACAAACTGTTGGGAGTAGAGGGAGAGTCAGGTTAGCATTCCCCTGTCCACAGCAGAACATCCCAATTCATACCTGTCCAGAATACAGCCTGCTAAAGCCTCCTGTGTCTTCCCTCCATTAGTCAAACTTGCTTCCCAGTAGAACTAAGGTGGGGACCAAAGGGGAAGCTGATGCTGCCCTTACTCACAGTCCTTCCTGGTAGCTGACTCCTTCCTGGCAATGGGTGACCCTGGCTTTCTTTTGTGAAAGTGTACCCCCACCATGCCACTTGGCAGCTTTCTTGCGTTCATTTCAAAGTGGAAAAGGAAGACGTTATTTGACTTACTGTTGGCTAGAAGTAAGAGAAATGTTACTAAATTTCTGAGTTGTTCCTTAAAATGTATAAAAACACTGTGGCCGGATATGAGAAAGAGCTGCAGAGTGGTTTCCGAGTCAACAGATATCTGCAGGACCCACACAAGCACCACTCTTAACTGCCGGGCTACCTCCCCAGCCCTGTTTGTGTCTTAAACCTTGTCCATTTGCTTTCTGTACTCTTAGTCTTGACTCGAAAACATTTTTAATGGTCTCACACAGGGTCTCACTGTATTTCAGGCTGGCCTAGCGATTCCTTTCTTTGTTGGATGACTTATTGTGAAAACAGCATTGCTTTGGGTCAAAGACTGTGTCTTCGAATTCACATTTTGAACTTCTTACTCCCAATGTGCTACCCTTAGGAGGCAGGGTTTCAGGGCACATTGGGACCTGGGGACAGAGTACATGAGATGGTGAGATTGGTGTCTATGTATAATAGACACTCACACCTACACAAGGTCACGTGTATTACGAAGAGAAGTCAGTACTTTGCAACTGAATGGGTGGCCCTGGCCTGGAACAGCCCCTGCTGCCATCTTGACCTCAAATTCCCAGCCTCAGTGCTTTAAGAAATGAGTTTCTATTGTCTATAAACCGCCCTCGTTATGGTGTCTTGTTTTTAGCACCCAAACTGCCCAAGAAATACCCGACTGAAGGTCCTTTCTGATCAGCCCACCACAGCTAGCTGCTAGGGGTATGTCACATCTTCTTTCCAAACTGTTCACTTGCTGTGCTCCTCTCTCTCCTTCTCTCCAGTTTTCTTTTAAGACGGGGTCTCACTCACTATGAGCCCAACTTGCCTTGAATTTGGGAATCTGCCTCAAGACTCTTGAATACTGAGATTAAAGGTGCAGGCCACCACATCTGTAAAGTTCACAGTTTCAAAGCTGTCTCACACACTAACATAGTCATTAAATAATCTCTTGGGAAATGCTGTAGATACAATCAAAGCTGAAGAACTCCCAGGTCTGTGTTGCCTTGGATTCCGAGAAGAGCCCCAAAGCTCCACTTTTGCCCTATGCTATATTTAAACTATTTCTTTTCTGTTTCACTCCTTCCTCTGTAGATCCTAAATGTCTATTCTGTTTATTCATTCACTCTTCAGAATGCTTTATACACTATCAGCCAGCTACTGCACTGGGCATTTAGCATAAGATTAAAATAAGCGAGTCATTTGGCAGTGGTGGCACATACCTTTAATCCCAGCACTCGGGAGGCAGAGGTAGGTGGATCTCTGTGAGTTCAAGTCCAGCCTGGTCTACAGACAGAGTTCCATGACAGCTTCCAAAGCCACAGAGAGACCCTGTCTCAAAAAGCAGAAATAATAAATAAATAAATAGAGTCAGAACAGAAACAGAGAAGTGGATGTGGGGGGGATAGACTGGGAGGATAGGAGGAAACTGCAGTCAGGACGTAAAATAAATACATTTTACAACTACAACAAACTATTAATAGAGTCTATATTACTTTAAACCATGAGCAGTCATTTCTTCAGAGTACATGGTAGGCTTTCGCAGAATTTCTGTTTAACTGTGCAAAGATGTGTTGCATTTGTTTACTTACCTAACGATGTATTACTATTTTGCCTTGCCTGCCTAAGGCACCTGATTGGTCTAGTAAAAATCTTAAAGACCAGTAGTGAGGGAGGAGGTAAAGATGGAACTCCCAGGCAGGGAGAGTAAGTAGGAAGAGCAATTTAGACTCCAGCAGGAAAGTAGGACATACAGAATGAAAGAAGGTAAAAGCCCCGAGACAAAACATAGAGGAATAGAAACAAGCTAAATTAAGTTAAAAGAGCTAGTGGGACAAGCCTAAGCTCAGGCCGAGCATTTGTAATTAATAAAAAGTCTCTGTGTTTTTACTTGTAGCTAGTTGATAGCCCAAAGAAAATTCCAACTACAGCAGGCTGTCAATAAATGCAATGTAAGCCATTATAATAAAACCAAACTCCACATCCTCATCAAGACAGTAAGTTGGAACAATATTGTCTTAGTGGAAATATCTCAGTACCTAAGGGCTCTGTGTTTGTGAGACGAGATGCTGCATGGATCCAAGCTCTCTGGAGACCCCAGCCAGCCGGGCTGAGGACAAGGAGATGGGCATGCCCAGAAAGACACAGGGTGAGCATAGAGTACTTTTCTGGGGCAACGTAAAAGTTTCTATAAGGCACAGAGTATCCACATGGCTAAGAGACTAATGCACTGTGTCCATCAGGATGGATGAACTCACTTCCCTTTAGGGAGCATCTGCTTGTTGTGGCCTGAGTGCACCTCCTTTAACATTCTGGTGCTGTCATGTGACATTCTGGAGAGGTGAGAGAGGTAAGGACTAGAGGAGGTGGTCAGAGCTCCCAGTACTGTTCATTTGTAGTTTCAGCTAGTTAGGAGGCTGGAGGCAGAAGATTGCTTGAGTCTAGGAGTTCAAGGCTAGTCTGAGTAATTCAGAAACATCCTGTGCTTAAAAACAATAACCTGACTAAGAGGTGACACAGCCATTGCTTTAGGATGAAGAATCATAGAAGAGCCATTCGGTAATTGTCAGTTTTCTCTCCCTTTCTTCCGTCACAAGAGGACACTGCTAGTGCTTCTGGAGGATACATACCTGCCTGCCAGTACCCTCGTCTTGGACTTTCCACCCCAGAACTGAGAAAACACATTGTATCTATCCTGACTCAGTTATTGTCACAGCAGCACAAATGAACCAAGACGCTGCCTTTCCTAGGGCCTAAACTGTACAAAAATTGTATTATTACTATTGTCTGTGTATGTGTGTGTGAGCAGGAGGGTGCTGTAGAGCTAATGTGAGGATCAGGAGACAACCTGTGGGTTCTCTTCCAGCTCTGTGCAGGATCTACCGTGACTTAGTTAGGGTTTCTATTGCTGTGATAAAGACCATAACTGAAAGCAATTTACAACTCTCAGATGACCCCCGATCCCTGACAAAGGTCAGGGCAGGAACTCAAGGCAGGCACCTACAGACAGAAGCTGAAGCAGAAACTATGCAGGGGTGCAGCTCCCTGACTTGCTTGGTTTGCTTTTTTATATAGCCTAGGACCATCCTCCTAGGGGCATCACTGCCCATAATGGGCTGGGCCCTCCAATATCCCCATAGACTTGCCTACAGGCAATCTGATGGTGACATTTCCTCAACTGAGGTTCTTCTTCCCGAACATTACTCTAGCTGGTATCAAGCTGATAAACCAACCAGGGCACAGGGGGATTGAACTCCAGTTGCCACGCTTTCCTAGCAAACACCTTTCCTCACTGAGCCATCCTACCAGCCTGCTTTTGTTCATTTTGATTTTGACAGAGTCTCACTCTGTAGCCCAAGCTGGCCTAGAGCAGAAAGCAATCCTCCTGCCTCAGTCTCCCTCATGCTGGGATTATAGGTGTGAGCTGCTCCCAACACTTGAGGACAGAGCGAGGTCATCTTTAAGTGTGAGGATGTGTGCTAGGGCACTAATCACCCTTCCCCACAGCGTGTGTGAGAGGACCCATATCCACACTTGTGGCTTCACCACATGCTGTGAACACTCACTATACGCTAAACCCTAGCATTTCACCTGTTACATAATTCAGTGTCATTGGCCTATTTCCTGTAAATAGGATCACAGCCTATGCTCTTCTTGAGATGTATAATATATCTGTTTAAAATCCAAACAAATAGGTTTTCCTCAACAATATAAAACTCCTAATACAAATACATAAGACACACTTATAAAAATAAAACCAATACAATATTAGCAAGTAAGAGCACAAAATCCTAATCCACCGGGAGATGGTTTTGTTTTTTCTTTTCAACAACTTCAAAATGTGGCAAGTTCCCTTTATCTCTTAAACAACTCTATTTCCTGGAAAAATACCCTTATGATACCACACTGTCATAGCTGGCTGCACCAGATTTGTGTGTTGTTTTCCAACTGCAGCGGACCAGCAAATTGAAGTCATTACAAAAATAATACCCAGATTTGAGGCTTTCTGATTCGAAAAGAAAATGCTTGACACATAAGAGCATTTCAGTCTTTCAATGGAACAAAACTATCACAGCATTACAGAACACACACACACACACACACACACACACACACACACACACACACACACTGACAAATAACTAAGATGTAAGCTGAACCACCAACCAGGGCAGGAGACAGAAAAACAACAGAATAGGCTTATACTTAAAAATTTATGTTGCTTATCTTTTTCAACTCTCCTCAAGCAGGTACTGTTGTACAAAATCCCTGGGAAGCTTCCACTCTTGTTTTAATGGCATTGTTATGTTAATACATCCCCCATTCTCCCTTTGAGCCGCTCAGGTCTGAGGCCTCTTACACTTTCTACAGAGAACTCACCCGCGGATAACTGAATGTATTTGTATTGCTGCAGGTCTAATTTTTAGATTACTTTTCTGTTAAGGATGAAATTGGAGCACTGGGGGAGAACTCCGGAAATTATTTTTCTCTAGAACCTAGTTTTACAGACTAAATAGCATACCATAGCCTGTCAACAAATTTCCTATAATAAATATTTCAAGTACAGATGGAGGTGTGTGTGTGTGTGTGTTGGGGCAGGGACAAACCCTGCTTTCATTACACAGATAGTAGAGAGGTATGACCAGAGTTAGGACGCAAGGGAGCAGATCCTCTCTAAGGCAGAAAAGACACAACTGTGTCACTGATTTCATCAGTAAACCAAGTACTGTAACTATTCTTTGTGAGCAGGAAAACAGATTTATATACTAGCATTTATTTATTTTGGCAGAGGGTTAAAACAGGTTTTAATGTGGACCCCAGGCTAGCGTGGGGCTAGTGGTCCTCCTGCCTCAGCCTCGTGACTACTAATATCACAGTCATGTGCCTCTATACCTAGCTGATTTTTATGACCACAGGGTTTAAATTTTATTTATTTTTATTAAAAATGATGTTGGGTTTGTGCATTTTATGTGTATGTGTGTTTTGCCTGCATGTATACATATGCACCATGTGTATGCCCATAGATGGTTGTGAGCCATCATGTAGGTGCAGAGAACTACAAACTCTGTGAGAACAGCAAACTCTCTTAACCACAGTGGAATCTCTCCAACTCGCTTCTTTCAGGTTTTGTTGATTATATCTCTAGTGCATAGAAGTTACAAACTACATGCTGTCAAGTTATCTACAATTTTGTTTTAAGGCTTACTTTAAAACAACTTTTAAAATCATATGTATATAGGTGTTTTACCTGCATGTGTGTTCATCACATGTGTGTCTAATGCCCACAGTGGCCAGAAGAGGATGCTAGATCCCCTGGAACTGGAGTTATGAATGGTTGTGAGCCACCATGTCAATAAGGGTAACCAGACCCGGGTCTTCTGCAAGTGCCCTTAACCTCTGAGTCATCTCTCCAGTCTCTCCAGATTTCTAATAGAAATATATTGAAAAGCCTTTCCTAATAAACGTTAAAGTCATAGTCATACATGTTGATTGGTATACATTGCTTCAATGTTTGTTTAAAAATTGTTTGCAATTAAGTAAGGTGTTCACTTTGCAAGATGGGTTGGCTCACAGAAGCCACTCGGTGGATGAGCTGTTTCTGCTAATATGACACTTTCAATGGAATGATAAAAAGCCTGTGACAAGTGAAATCAATTCTCCCCTCTCAGGTGCCAAACAGAAGAGATTCATATTGCAAGATCCATGACTTTGTCTGGACACTTTTCTAAAAACGGCTTGCCATCAATCTTGTTTAAAATTATCTTCTCCCCAACATAAGGAAAACCTCCCAGGAAGAACACTCCTAGGAGGGATTTAATTATCTTAGAACTGATTTGTTCCTTGAAAAGTTGTTTTCTTTCAATGTCTAGTGAAGATAAATCTCCATGCCATTAATGACTGACCCAAATCCCATGGATATGACCCAAAAGTTCCCTGTGTTGTGATGGAAGTGTGTGTGCTTGTGTATGTGTGTGAGTGTATGTGTGTGTATGCATGTGTGAGTGTATGTGTGTGTATGCATGTGTGAGTGTATGTGTGTGTATGCATGTGTGAGTGTATGTGTGTGTATGCATGTGTGAGTGTATGTGTGTGTATGCATGTGTGAGTGTATGTGTGTGTATGCATGTGTGAGTGTATGTGTGTGTATGCATGTGTGAGTGTATGTGTGTGTATGCATGTGTGAGTGTATGTGTGTGTGTGCATGTGTGAGTGTATGTGTGTATGCATGTGTGAGTGTATGTGAGTGAGTGTACATGTGTGTATGCATGTGTGAGTGTATGTGTGTGTATGCATGTGTGAGTGTATGTGTGTATGCATGTGTGAGTGTATGTGTGTGTATGCATGTGTGAGTGTATGTGTGTGTATACATGTGTGAGTGTATGTGAGTGAGTGTACGTGTGTGTGTGAGAGCACAAGAGTGCAGTGTTTGTGTGTGTGAGAGAGAGAGAGATAAAGGGGATAAAGGGAGAAAGAGAGAGAACGTGAGAGAGAGAGAACGAGAGAGAGAGAGAGAGGGAGAGAGATAAAGGGGATAAAGAGAGAGAGAGAGAGAGAGAGAGAGAGAGAGAGAGAGAGAGAGAGAGAGAGAGAGAGAGAGAGAGAGAGAGGGACCTAGGTCCATGGCCAGTCAAGAGCCCATAGTGACATCTGGACTTGACCCTGGCAGCTTGGATCTACTGTATGAGAACACAGCAAAGGAAGAACAGAAGACACAGCTATTGCTGCTTTGTCAGCTTCTATTTTTTATTATCAAAGATTTATTTTAAGTGTGTGTGTGTCTGTGTGTCTGTGTGTGTGTCTGTGTGTGTGTCTGTGTGTGTGTCTGTATGTGTGAGTGTGTGGGTGCATGTGTGTCTGTGTGTGTGTCTGTGTGTATGTCTGTGTTTGTATCTGTGTGTGTGTGTCTGTGTGTATGTCTCTGTGTATGTGTGTGTCTGTGTGTGTCTGTGTGTGTCTGTGTGTATGTCCGTGTGTGCATGTGTGTCTGTGTGTGTGTGAGTGTGTGTGTGTATGTCTGTGTGTGTATCTCTGTGTGTGTCTGTGTGTATGTCTCTGTGTGTGTGTGAGTGTGTGTGTGTGTGTCTGTGTGTGTTTAGGTGGGAGGTTGGTGTCCAGCATTGGACTCCCTGCAGCTGGAGTTATACGTAGTTGTGAGGCGCTCAACATGGTTGTTAGGAAGCAAACTTGGGCCCTCTGGAAGAGCAGTACAAACTTCTGACTACAAAGCCCTGACAGCATCTCTTAAGTACAAAAAAAACTTTTTTGTTACATAACATACTTAAATTATCTAATTCCAGAAACTGAGATTTCCACCATATGAGATACTTTGAGTACTGTTTTCATGAATTGTTTAATAGCTCAATGCAAACTAGAAAATGAAAACACTTTGAAACAGTTTTTCTGTAGTAACCATAATGAAAGTAACTGTAGTCTTTATTTATGGCACTGGCATGACTACCTCCATATCTGTGTTACATCAGACACTAAGCTTGTAATCCTCAATTTCTTTCTATAGTAGAACCTTATCATCAATCTGATTTATAGGTAAAATAAATTACAGGCTTGCAGTAAGGATCAACATGGGAACATATGTTAGTTCTACAAATGCATACAAGTAGCAGCATTATCATTATTTTATTTTTTGTTTTGTCTCTGAGACTGTGTCTCATGTAGCCCAGGGTGGACCCAGACTCTGCTGGGTACCTGAGACTGGCTTTGAACACCTGAGTCTCCTGCCTCTTCTTTCCAAGTACTAGGATTAGAAATGTGTGCCACCATGCTATTATTATTAGAGATACTGAAATCCAGTTTGCAGAGTGCTTGCTTTATCCTAATCCATTGAAATTACACTAAAACTCTGAGATACGTAAAAGATAGAACCCTCTTCATATGAGGAAACTGAAATGGAGAGAGGGCTTATCCTTGCTATCAAGAGGACCTATAATAGGTAACAGTTGAGAAGGGTTGGAACCTAAAGACATTTAACTTTTCCTCGATGCTCCCTCAACCCCTCCATCTATTCTGATTGTTTTCCAAGTGTTCCCTTGAATTTCAGGGTCACCAGCTGACGTCTATGGATGACTGGCTCACTCACCTTTTTTACTTCATACTTAATGGCAAGTTTGACACGACTCAGTGAAGCCTTGTGTCTGTGTGTCTCCAGGGGCTCCGCTGACTCCAGATCTCCATTCAGAATGGCTTCCACCTCCTCAGAGTCTCGACACAGGTCCAGCACGCCCACTACAAAGTCTTTGCATTGCATGGAGAGCTTCCTGTAGTCATTCTAAAATAAGAGGTTTGGTGTTTAATGTCAAGAATAACTCAGCAGCAAGTACTTGGGGATAGAGGGGGTAGATAAAGACATCCCTGCCTGGGTAGAGTATGCAGCCCCTACCTGGATACAAGGCTGCTTAAGGCAGATACAGATGTATTCCCCTGCCCTCGCTGAGTTTCCTTCTGCCCAGCTGTATGAGAGCTCTGAAAATTACGTGGTCATGATCTTACGTACATGTGGAACCTTAAAAAGTCAAACTCATAGAAACAAAGAATAGAATGGTACTTAGCAAGAGGCCAGGAGGTAGAACTGGCCAAAGATATAATATGCTAATTTGCTTGATTTAACCATTCAGCATTGTATGCATGTATCAGCACACTATACGGTATACCATAATATGTTCAATTATTTTTGTCAGTTTCAGGTTTGGGCTGGACTGCAACTCATAGTACAGGACTTGTCTGACGTGCATTTGGAGCTGAGATTTTGTAGGGCATTTGCTCTTGAGATAGGGTCTCACAATTAGTTCACACGGGCCTGGAACCCGCTGTGCGGTACTGGTTCCATCTACCCGGGGCTGTGATTTCAGTGGTGCGCCACCACACTAGCTTATAAAACTAAAACTTCTCCAAAAAAGCCAGTCATAAGGGCTCACAGGAGGACTACCACAGATTCAAGGCAAGCTTTGGCCTTGTAGTGAATTTAAGGTCAGTCTGAGCAAAACAAACCCCCCCAAAACAAGATTAGCTCCAAAACACACCCCCAAAACAAAATGTAGTATGTACACAAGTCACTGGTTTGTATTAAAGATAATTGAAGTATAAATGCACATCTTAATGCCACAAGCAGTCCTGTTGCCTGGGGAGTCTGCAGAATGCCAGGGTTCCAGCTCCAGAGAGCAGGGAAGGCACCACTCACGGGACACTGGGGGCTTCTGTCAATGTGTGGCAAGTTTGTAACTGGATTTAGAACACTGGGATTTTGCCCTTTCCTGTGTTTCTGTTTTCCTTCTCTACCTGTTTTTCTTCCTATTTTATAAAGACAACTAACTAGACACTTGTGTTATATAAAAGCTTGTTTTATGAAGAAAAAAGAGAGAATGGCTAGGTGCCAATGCTGAACACCAAAAGTCAAAACAAGTTTATCTCTTTGTATAAGCAATAGTTATGTTGAAGCTAAAGCAGGGTTATTTCCATAATGGAAACTTTCTAAAGTGGCAGATTGATGCAAAAAAGTGGCCATTATGAAAATGTGTCCAGTTTCTTATCCACGGCCTTTCGGGAAATATAGCTTGTCAAACAAACATAGATCTGATACCAACAGTATCAGTGGCACCAAGAACCTGCAATTCTTTGGTCCTGCCCTGAAGTAAAAACTGAGAAAGGCCTCAGCAATCCGGTACAAGTCGGAGTTTGCAAATGACTGATAATAACTGGAGAGGAGGTGTAGCCCATCCCCATAGAGAGCCATGGACTGAAGGGCATGTTATTGCTCTTTGCAGAAACAGAAGGAGAGAAATGGCTGATTACATGGAATTGGATTCTTCAGGGTTATAAAATATCAATACCTGAGAGAAAAGTTTCCAGGCCACTGGAACTAACACTTTGCTAAAAATAATCTGTGAATCTTTAATTCCATTTGCATATTTATTTGGTGTGATGGATGGTTGGCCACCTCCCTGTTACCTTCTGAATGGAGCTCTATTTTTAGCGCATTGGATCCAGTTAAGGTACCACTGGCCATCTCCTGGGGAAGTGCCTCACTTTTGGAAACCCCATTTCTACCTTGGTGACTTTGGCTAAACTTTTAGCCTATAGAGAAAATTAAACCAGATACTCTGTAATTCCAGCATTTAAAAAGCTGAGGCAGGAGGATGGCAAGTTGGAGACTAGTCTGGGCTATATAGTCAGACCCTGTCTGAAACAATTTAAAAGTTAGCCGCATAATAATTTAATTGATGTACTTGAGGAAATGGAATTCCTCATTTTAATGTGTTCTGAGACATTGTGTCTTGATAAAGAAGTAATACTTCACACAGCAGAATTTCTAGGCTTCAAAAACATTTCAAGAAGACATGAAGAATTCTAATTTTCTTCCCTTAAATAATTTGATTTGGTAGGCAAAAACCACACCACCAACTAAAATAAACAAGAAGAGAGAGGCCATTTAAAGGGTATACAGACTGGAATAGTTTCCACTTCAATTATCAGTAAATTCAGACAAAGAACATAACAGTTAATGTTTATTCCCTCATAAGGTAAAAGATAAAATGAATAAAATCCCAGTCTCCATTCAAGTTGGTACCATTAACATGATAATATTAATAAAACACAAAGCCTCTGGTTCCTGTGCAGAGTGGGTGCCAGTTAAATATCCATCCCATTCCTGGAAGCTAATGCAATATTTTATTATAGCTTCCAGGAGGATTACGTCCATGATGTTTCCATATACAGCTCCTATCTTAACACAGTGTTGTAGCTGGAGTTTCCTCCCGCCACCCAATGGTTCAGGGTGTTCTGTAGGATTCTGTGTAACACCCGGAAGTCACAGAGACTTCCAGTGCTCTGAACTAAGCTTCTGCATGGATGGGCCAGTGGTGTTGCATTACTTCTTACAGTTATACCCTCAAAGTTGTTCAGCTAAAGGAATCAAAGCCTGACAGATCAGTCGAGAAACAAACAAACAAAAGGCTTAGGGATCATACAGGCCGTAAGGATAATGGTTTGTACAGATTAAATAGACACTTCTGGAAGAGGAACTGATAACGAAGATTTAAAAAAAAAACACAGGGTCTTACTCTGTTGCCCAAGATAGCTTCCAACTCTTGGCTCCAGGGGTCCTCTGGTCTCAGTCTCCTTAGCTGCTTAGACTACAGGCACATGCCACCTCACCTGGCTACTTCAGTCATGGCTTTTAGATCTACCCAGAGTGCTCAGGCAAAGACGGGGAACTCTGACCAATGGCACCCTTCCCTCCATTGCTAAAGTCTGCACTGTCGTCTGCACTGTCTGCCAGGCCACCCTGAGCTCTTCCCACCCACCATGGCTTCACAACCCAGATCAGACCAACAGAGACAGCAAACTGTTCTCAATTTAGTTTTGTTGAGTCATCTTCATGGGTCTTTCCCAGCACCATGGTCAGGTGACCAGAGCATCAACAAAAAAAAACTCAAGGACCTCAAGGAAGAGCAATGAAGTCCAGTTTCATCACAGCCTCTCCACACTCCTAAGAATATATATGGTTTAATCTTCATTCAGATCATGTACCAGCAGGGTAATGTTTGGGATTTCTTTAACCTTTCCTATAAGCGTAATCCTACCTCCTGTTTGTCCTGTGGGGACTGAACGCTGAGAGCCTGCTCAGTATGCATTAGAAAGCTTATGCATGCCTCAGTGTGAGAAGGCATGCTATTTTGGACATAAACCCATGACTTGGGGTGGAGGGATGGCTCAATGGTTTAAAGCACTGGCTGATCTTCCATGGGGCTTGAGTTTGGTTTCCAGCACTTACATGACAGCCTATAACCATGTGCAACTCCAATTCCAGGGGACCCCCTTCTGGCCTCCAAGGACACCAGACACACAGATGGTACACATACATCTGTGGTGCACAGGCAAAAACACTTATATACAAAAATAAAAGTAAATAAACCTTAAATAAATAAAACCAGGGATCCAAGGTGCCCAGATCAGGTTTAGTCAGTATTACCTTGACCTCTGTTTTTCCACTTGTATACGGAGAGGTCTATGTGATTAGATGATGCCCAGAGTCTATTCCTGCTGTAAAAGGCCTTCTAACTTTGGGTCATGTTTCTTTTCCCTTTTCCTTCTAACTCTACTGTGGTAGGATTTGAAACTTCTTTCTACTTTGAAAGAAAATCAGAGGCACAGGGAAATAGCTTTTTATCCTTCCCTCCCTCCCTCCTTCCCTCCCTCTCTCTCTCCCTCCCTTCCTCCCTCCCTCCCTCTCAGAAAAGTGCATCACCAGCTCAGTTAGAATCTGGAAATTTCAATTTGTGTTCTTGTATCTTAATAAACGGCAGGCTTCCTTGCCGTTGATGGGCGAATGATTAGACGCGAGTCTCCATTTTTCGGAACAGCTGTAGACATCATTTGCACATCTACACTGGCACTTTAATCACATGTCACTGGCCATCCTCCATCAATTCCTCTAAACCTATGACCTCAAGTGCTCAGGCTCCCGAGACAGTGACCTTCACGTGTCCTCTGCGTCCCCGAGGGACTGTGGAGTGTGCAGAGGGTGAGAAAGTTTGCATTCCAGGTCATCGCTAAGATGCTGAAACAGGTGTCTGAAAAGGGAAAACATCCCCGTGCTTCGCCAGGGAGCAGCACACTGTCTGTCTCTTCATTTTCAGGCCAGGACTCTGAGCTGAAAATCCCTCTGGGAAGGAATATAGTGAACAGCACAGAACAGGGCAAATTAGGTTACCTGCTTTCCTCCCGAATGAGCTTCACTCGTCCTGTCCTTCCTGTCAGAGCACAACAGGGCTGGGTTAGGACTTTGACTATCTGACAGACAGATGGACAGGGTGTGGGGGTGAGAGGGCAAGCGGAGATGGGATAAGAAAGAACCAAAGAGATGGCCAAGGGTGGGGAAGAAAAGGCATGGGCTGAGGCAGAGAGGCTCTCTGGAGACTGAGTCCCGGGGAGCTGCCCCGTTCTGGCTCATAGAGGACTCGGCCACTCCCGAACGTGCTGTGTAAGCTGGACCCAGGAACATCTGACCTGGAGAACTCAGGTGTGCTTTCTCCTCTTTTGCTTTTTTACTTGTGGTATTTTCCCACTTCCAGAAGGTTCTCAGAGATGACCCTTGGAGTCAGAGTAAAGGATTCTAATGTGAGCATTACTAGCGTGGATCTAGCTGGCTTCAGGAGGAAAGTATGAATAACAAATTCTCTTCCATTGCTCCACCAAGGCAGCTTCTCTATGTGGAACTGCAAACATCACCATCTTTAGTCAATTATTAAAGCATAATCCTAGAAAATATTTCCTTTTATGGAAGTTCTCTTGCAGAGTTTCAACATATATCAAATAAAGAACACAAGACAAGTTTCTGTGACATTTGAAGTGTCAACTAAGTAAATTTAGAATTATGCTTTTATGACTATCTCAAAAATAAAGAAGCGATGTCTGAAAGTATTTTTCCCAGATACTTTTCTATTCTCTCTAATAAGCTTGAAGCTTTATACTTGTTCTACCTATGGTCTGTTTAAAAAGTTTTCAAGCCTGGTGTGGTGGGGGCACATCTGTAATCCAAGCACGTGAGAGATGGAGATAGGAGGATCAAAAAACCCAAGGTGTTCCTCAGTTACACAGCAAGTTCAAGGCCAGCCTGGGCCACATGAGACCTTGTCTTAAAAACTCAAATATGAAACAAAAACAAAATTCATAGTGGGTTTAAGGAAATAACTCTTCTCAAGTGGTACATTATAGATGTCCTTACAGGGAGTAGATCTTAAGCAAGACTTATTTTAGTCTTCGATTTTCCCATATTTCCTCAATTTTTTTTACATCATAACATGCAGATTTGTATCGGAAAAAAGCACAAATAGATTAACAAGATGGTTATACTGAGGCCAGAACTCCTCCAAGACACAGAGAGGGTTGACAAATACTGAAGGAATTTGTCGTAGATTGAAAGTGGGCAAACTAATTTGTGCCATTTTCTTGAAACCCCAGAGAAAGCAGGTTGTCTTAAGCTTGAATTATATTGCCAATTGTGCTTGAAAAACCCATTTAACTATGAAAAACAACATTAAGATTGGAAGGACAGAGTAAACTCTCATTTTGATACTATTACTCTATGCTAAAAAGGGTGGATGCTGAGGAGCCAGAGCTTGCAACCACTTCCTTACCTGGAGAACAGGAGAGTGGAAATCTGCTGAAGAGAGCTGATGGACTTGACCTTTGTAATGAAATACCCACTCCACCCTAGTTTTAAGAAGTAGGAGCATTTAAAATGCATAGAAGGGGGGGCGATAGAATAAAATTTTAAAATGGTCTATCACAAACATAGGATTCTCATAAAATACTACTGATTGACAGAAAAAAAGTAACACATTAAAAAAGCCAGTAGAGTAGAAAGCCTGTAAGGAAGCAAACCACTTTGCTGTCCTTTGTGTTTCTGGATTGATCCTACAGTCACAACTCACCACTCTAAATATGTTCATGGAATTCAAGGTGAGGCATTTGTCCCATTAATGAAGTGACCTTAATATTAACAATAACATAGCTTCAGTAGTATTCTATATTTGCGTTTTGAATTCTAATTCTGGTAGGGGTGCCCAGCCTCGACTTGGCCATATGACACTGTCGTCTACAGATGTGTTGAGTAGAAATCATAACTATCCTGGGATGCACGCAGCCTGTGAAGCACACGTTGGACATGGCTACATCTAAAAATATACAAAGGCTTGGGGTCACGAACAGAACTTCAAAGAAAAGAACACTCCATCGGAGAAAAGAAAGCAGAGCCTTACCTCGCAGTGACGCCGTGCAGCCTTCTGACGAGGTGACACCATGCAACTGAACACAAAGAATCGGGAAGGGAGACAGACTTGTCACATCTCCCTTTTAGAAAAGGGGGACACGGAACTTCTGATTACTTAACCAGGTCACAGAGCAGCCACCAACACCACCTCTCTCTAAGGCTGTGTTACCTTGTCTCCAACGTGAGTCTGCTGCAGCTCGTCTCATTGAAAGGGGGAACCCATCAGAGCAGTGCCTTTCAGCTTAAAATCTCCCACAGAGCAAGCCATGCTGTAATCTCAGCACTTGGGAGGCTGAAGTAGAGGGATTGCTGTGAGCTCCTGACCATCAAGGGCTATGAAGTATGAGGGCAGTCTAGGACTCTGTCTAAACCAGAAAGAAACGGGACATGGTACATGTTCTTGTTTCTTTCTTTTTTTGTTTTTCGAGACAGGGTTTCTCTGTATTGTTTTGGAGGCTGTCCTGAAGCGCTCTGTAGACCAAGCTGGCTTTGAACTCACAGAGATCCGCCTGCTTCTGCCTCCCGCGTGCTGGGATTAAAGGCTTGTGCCACCAACGCCCAGCTCGGTACATGTTCTTGGAAACTCAACGTCTGAGAGGTTGAAATAGGAGGGTTGCTGTGAATCTGTGGCCAGCCTGAGGTATAAAGTGAGGATCTACTTTAAAACAGACAAACAAAATCTCAACAGGCACGGGGCAGAACCGACTCAGGCACAGCAGACAGGGGGCTTCCACTGGCCTACCTTGAACTCCTTCTCTATGTTGGCTAGCTTGGCTAGTTCATTGCTGAGTTCCAGGGCGGTGAGCACCGGGTCCTCGCTGGAGAGTGACAAGTACGCAGGGCTGGCCAGTCCCTTGTAAGCGTTGATCCTAGACCTCGAGTGGCTGAAGGCATCAAGCCTCTGTTTCTCGGCACAGTCAGCGCAACGACAGAAGTAGTCGTGTGGCCGCTCGATGCGCGCGCCCTTGAGTAGCAGCAGGTGCACCACCTCGTACTTATGGCAGTGTGCAGCCAGGATGATGGGCGTGATGTCCGGCGAGAAGCGCGTGCCATCCTCATCATAAGCATAGAAGTCATCGTCCCGCAGTTCCTGCTCGCAGGGGCTAAGTGTCAGGCGCCGGCTGGCCGCGAAGCCTGGGTGGCCGAGGATGGCCTCCACGATGCGCACATAGCCCTTGCTGATGGCTAGCAGCAACGCATCTCCGATACGTGCCAGGTTCTCCTTTTTCAGCAGCAACTCGGTCACCTCCAGATGCTCATTGCCTACAGCCAGCTGCAGCGCGTTCTGGCCCATGTAGTCCACACAGTTGACATTGAGCGTTTGTGACTCCTCCAGCATCTTGCGCACGACCGGGATGTTGCCGTACTCTGCAGCGTCCAGGAAGCGCTCCTCCTCAGCTGTGAGGCTGGGCCCACGAGCACCAAACATGAAGGCCGGGCCACGCACAGCCTGGCGCCTGCCCTTGTCACGCATCCCTGCAGTGCGCCACCTCGATGGGCTGCCCTCGGAGGACCTGATCAGTGGGGTGACAAAACAGTGTGGGACTTTGATGCCTGTAGCTTTCTCCCCCAGCAAGCCCGGCTGCAAACCCGAAGCCAGGGAAGGGCGGGGGAAATTGCTAACGTCAACCATCCCGTCGCCCCTCACCTAACACAGGCTGCCTGAGCTCCAGTTAATTCTGACTTCAAATAGAAAAATAATGGAATAATTTTCATGCACCTACCCCTCCCTGGTAAAAAAAAAACACTCAGTATCCTGCAGCTTCAGCCTGGTTCCTGCTGGTAAATAGCTTAGCGACAGAGTACTTGGCCTAGCAGGTGTGAGGACCTGGATTTTGTCTCTACCACGACAAAAAGAAAAACAATCCTGGAAACAGTGTCTACAGACACTCAGCATTCATGCCCCAGGCTGGAGTACTCAATGGAGGTTAATTTTTTGTCAAGATTCAGGACAGAATAGCCTTCTCTAGTTATTGTACATTCTAAACCAAAATTATATACACAGCCCCACATTAGGTTGAGTACCATCTTAACAAGGACTTAGCTTTAACAATTTCCCTTACGGGAAAGCCTTCCCCTCACCCAAGGTTTGTGTGTTTGTTCGCTTGCTTGCTTGTTTTACAGGGTTCATCTTTGCAATGACCTAGACAAGATTTACCAATTACAAAATCCAAGCATCGATCTAGATTTACTTCATTGACAATAACTCTTGTTATAGGATTGTTTAATTACTAAAATTACACAATTGCCTGTTGAACTAGAAGGAAATTTCTTGACTGGTGCATTAAAATTCTCTAGTGTGATTTCATGAACATAACTCCAGGTACTGCTCCTCTAGCCAGAACAATGTGCCCTGAAATCCTACCACAACTCACATTAGCTGAGATCTGACTGCATCAAAGTCATGCCATAGGCTGACGTGTGCAGCACCTTTAGATCACGTCGTGATTGTTACAAGTCTCCGGAGCCTTCTTATCCCACATGTAAAATGAGAAGTTAAACCTGGAGGGTGGTCCCTGGTGCCAATCCTGGAACTCAGAAGGCCAAGACTTTGTCTCCTCAAAAACAACAACAACAACAACAAACCCACTTTAAAATAATAAATAATGTCCGGCCTAACAGCACAGACCTACAGTCTCAGCTACTGGGGAACTGTAAAGCAGGAGGTGAGGTTCAAGTTCAAGGCCAGTCAGGGCAACTTAGTAAACTCAAGATAAAACCTAAGACAAGGTCTGGAGAACTAGATGATCTGTAAAGCACTTGTCTAGCATGTACAGACCCTGGTTTCATCACCCGGGACTACAAAAGTGGAGACTAAAATGAAAAGTCCCAGATTTTACGTGCTTATAAGTAAAAGCTCTTGTAAATGTTCTGAGTCTCTGAAAAACATTGCAAAATAAATTACATAATTTTGACATTGTGCTTATCTGTAACAGCTCAATGACTGATCCATTGTACTAGTCAAATATTGTATAAATACACAAATTTCTATCTTTACCTTTATTCAGTTGCAAACATTTTTTTTTCTGATTCAAATGCTCAAAATAACTTTCTTTTTAAAAAATCTGTCAAATCTTTTTTGGTATGAGCTATATCAAAGGGTATCAGTTAAGCTTTTTTTCCCCCATGTTACTGACTTTTGAAGCAAATAAACCCAACTTAAAAGTGAATGGCTGGGAAGGGAAAGCAGTCACTTCATTTCTATTATATGTATTTCAGAAACATCTCCTACCACTGAAAAATGTATTCACAGATCCAGGGTTTGAAAACTCACGAGAAAGGACACCTGCTTCCCCAGGAGCCTGGCTAAATTCAGAAACTTCCTCAGCAGAGGAAGTGGGGGTGCCAGCACCCAGCTCTCCTTAGCTCTGTGTGCTCGAGACCTTGGCTCTCCAGTGCTGAGAAAACGGGTGTCTAGTGAAGGCACCCATGTACCCCAGGTTAGATCAAACTTCAGGAATATCCAACTCCCACTGCTTAGCACAGAAGGTCAACCAAACGTACTTGAGAGAACAAGGCATGGCATTCCAGCTGCAGCTCCCTGCAACTCGGGGACATGAGACCCAAGAACAGGGAGGGACTCCACCTTGCTCTTGTCCCCCCATGCGCAGTTTGAGCAGCTATGAGCGTAGTTTAGAACTTAGAAATACTTACGTCTTTTAGCCCAGTCTCTGACAATTACTTAAACATGTGGGTATCTTTGGTAACTATTACATTATAGGCTTTCTGCGGTTAAAAAAGTGAAGTGTGGGTGTATGCTAGGTAGGGTGGTGGGGGAAACTCGGGAGGGGCTCGAGGCTGGTAGATGGTTTTTAGATGGGCACAAATAAGAAAGCAGCATTTACTACTGAGAGTACAGAAGAGTTTCAAACTCTACAATGAGGACTTTAGGAAAATCTTGTATTATTAGGATGATTTATTGGTATTAGTGGAACTCATTTCATTGGGTCAATCGTTCTTACTGTTAAGTTATAAGCTGTGTTTGAATGACCAGAATTTCTGTGTAAAAGGTCTTGTTTCTGCCATTGGTAATAAGTTATTACCTAAGGCTAACAGAATATTCACCCAGAGTACATCTGTGGAACTCCACCTTACACTCATAAGGATTATCTTTGGAAAATGAATCCCGACTGAATGAAGTATCACATCTTAATGAACAAGATTTTTAATTTAATGACTTTCTTACAAGAACCTAGATATAAATAACCTTACAATTTTTTGCAAAAAAGCCTGAGTTGAGAATACTAGAAAATGATTATTTCATCAGTTTTTCTCCTGGTATTTCTTTGTATTTTTAGCTCCTTTTAAAAAACAGTGTCTGTCTCAATCACTCTGTCCTAGAACTCACTATATAGTCCAGGTTGTCCCTGAATCCATTGTTATCTGCCTGCCTTAGTCTCCCAAGTACTGGGATTAAAGCTATGAGCCACCATGACCAGCTAATATTTTTAAAAAATCAAAATGCAATTATAGAACATGGGATTTGATGAGAGCAGCTAAAATCTACTCATCTGTCATGAATCTCATTTATCATACAATGTTTTTAACCTAGAGTCCTTGTGTTATAAATCAAATATTTTAGCATGTTAAAGTTTTCTTCAATATGTATTTTTCCAGAACCTTTATCTACACAATGTATACTGGAACTAAAACGTTTGATTTTAGTACTGTGGTGATGTGAATAAGAATGGTCCCCATGGGTTCAAATGCTTAAATGCTTGGTTAATGGAACTGTTTGGGAAGGATTAGGAGGTAAAGCCCTGCCAGAGTAGGTGTGGCCTTGTTGGAGGAGGTGTGTCATTGGGGGGTGTCTTTGAGGTTTCCAAAGCTCCCCCTTTCTCTCCTTGACTGTTGCCTGTGGATCAGGATGTAAAGCTCTCAGCTACCACTCTCAGATACTCCTGCCTCTAAGCCACTATGCTCCCCACCATGCTGGACATGAACTAAGGCTCTGAAACTGTAAGCCAGCCCAATTAAACACTTTCTTTTATAAGAGTTGCCTTGGGGGGGGGGCTGGAGAGATGGCTCAGAGGTTAAGAATACTGACTGCTCTTCCAGAGGTCCTGAGTTCAATTCCCAGCAACCACATGATGGCTCACAACCATTCGTAATGAGATCTGATGCCCCCTTCTGACATGCAGGAACATATGCAGGCAGAACAGTATGTTCATAATAAATAAATCTTCAAACAACAACAACAAAAAAAAAGAGTTGCCTTGGGCCGGGCGTTGGTAGCACACGCCTTGTATCCCAGCACTGGGGAGGCAGAGGCGGGTGGATCTCTGTAAGTGAGTTCGAGGCCAGTCTGGTCTACAGAGCGAGTTCCAGGACAGCCTCCAAAACAATACAGAGAAACCCTGTCACACACACAAAAAAAATTGCCTTGGCCATGGTGTCTTTCCACAGCAACAGAACAGTAGAACAGTGACTAAGGTAAGTTCTATACAGCGTAAGTCAAAATAGGCAGTCTCGTGCCGTCTTTAAAAGATCCTAAGAGTGACTCAAGTGTGAGGCCTAACCTCTCAATCAAAACTAACTATACCTTACACCGTCAGTCACTTAAAAGAGCTGAGTGAGAGCTCCTTATTCCACGTGACCCACAGTAGGCGGATCTTTCAACTTTCCTTACAGAACTGAAACAGACTTCCATCATCTACACCCATGCCGCGGAGTCAGCCTCCTTAGGCAAACAGGTGTCCAGAGTCGGATGTGCTCAACATGTCTCTTCCAACTTTTGAAATAAAGAACGAAGATGCCAAACCCTGAGAACGCTAAGAGAACACTTTCCCAGGGTTATTCGTCTCTTCAGACCCTCATCCAATGGCTCTACCCAGTCAGCACTTCGAGGGCGCTCTGGAGAGACTTTGCGCCCACCGAGCACTGGAGCACGCTGGCCGACAGTACAGACCCCGCAAGGCTGGGTTAGGCTTCTTCTCCAGTGCTGATGTGGACAGCCTGACCATCTGACCGCTACAGACTGAACTCGCCCCCTCTCAGTTTTGCCGCTGGAGCATACGAGGACACACGGGGAAAGCAGCCAGGAAACGTCCCCACCAGAACCTGACTGTGTCAGCTCCCATCTCAGGATTCCAGGCTCCAAAATGGTCAGAAAACAGGTTTCTGCTGTAGATTCAGTCGATGGGGCCTTTTTGGCACGGACAGAATTGAGTAAGACCCTTTACATTTGCTTAAAGAATTTTTAGTGCTTCTTGGGATCTTTGTACTTGCACAAACATTTAAACCAGTGAAAAATCCTTCTGGAACTATTTTTGTCCAGCCATTGGGAACCTTCTGCTCCACTCCACTCAGAAGCAAAAATACAAGCAACACTTCCCAGTTGTCATAACTTTCCATGGAGTCATCTGACCTAATATTGTTTCTGCAACAGTGACCTGAGTTCTACCTGAAGTGTGTGCTAAAATACAGATTTCCAGTCTTATTCCAGGAGGGGCTGATTCGGCATATCCCAGGGGTGTGGCCCTGGGATATGTATTCTAAATGAACAACCTTGACA